ATTTCACATAAGTAGTATAATACAAAAATTCAATACGTAGTTGTAGAATAAAGTTCAAACATAGATAAAAAGTAACATGAATATTATAATTAATAATATATATATATATATATATATATATATATGTGTGTGTGTGTGTGTGTGTGTGTGTGTGTGTGAGAGAGAGAGAGAGAGAGAGAGAGGCGGGTGGGTACTTAGGTATCCATACCTATCCTCATTTTCATTAAAATTTGCGAGTCTTTTTTCATATTCATATATGTACTTGTTTAGTGAGTGATTATCCTATCTGTTGTGGATAAATTTTACAAGTACTCATCGGATATTTTACTCGATGTCATCTCTTCTTAGACTTAATTTAGTTTGTTTTGATCTTAAGTGTCTTTAGTTGACCTGATTAGTTTTCAACTCTTGTAAGATGTACAATATGTTACGTAAGAGAAAAATGAGTTACATTATATTATACTTTAATTACAATAATTTGAGAGTAAATTAAAAATGAATAAAGGTTAGATTTTATATGTTGTTCTTCTTTCTTTATTGGGAAGCAATTGTTGTTTTATTATGTAAAACATTGTTTAGATTTCATGTTGACAAGAGGAGGAATTAGTGATCACTACTTCTTATTTAAAAGTTAATTAAATATAAGAAGGGTTAGGTAAACTCCTAAACCCTTTTAACCTCTTTTTTTTTTTTTTAATTCTCCTATTTTAAGAAGTTTATATATATATATATATATATATATATATATATAATTGATATTATGAACTAAATTGTTAATTTTAAAAATAAAAAATATTTTTTTAAAAATGTTAATTCATAGAGTGAATTTTTTTTTTACAAAATTATAAAAAATTAAAATAGAAATTCTAAAAATATTAATTTTTAGAGAAAAAAATATTTAATTTTTATATTTTTAAAAAATAAAAATAATAAAAAAATATATAAATAAAAAATTTAAAAGAATAATAATTTCATTTATTTGTTAAACTTTATGTTATCTTTTTCTCTCAATATTAAATATCTGAACAAAAGAAAATTTTAATTCTCCCTTTTCCTCATATCTTAAGAGTCTTTTAAATCGTTTCCTTTCTTCTCTCTAAATTTCTAAACAAAATCTAAATATTTTAAACTCAATAAATTTTGTCACCTTTAGATTGAGCAAAACATATGCATGGTGTTGGTGGCACATGGACTTCAATGCTGATTATACTGTACAATCAACATATGCCTCTTTTTTGTTATAAAAAAACAACTTTATCTTTATTATTTTTGTGACATATAATTCTTATTTTAAACATTTATAATTTAGTTATATGCTCTTTATTAGTATTTTGAAAATCAATTTGACTCAAGATTAGAGGAAAATATAGGTGACTTATAAGCTTGACAAAAACAAATTAGTATCTATTTATTTTTACTTAACTAAGTAAAACTAGGACTTTAATAACCATTTACTATGTGTTAATTAAAAAATAAACTTATTAAAGAATAATATATTAGATAACTAGAGTAAAAACAAAAGAAGCTAGAGAACAAAGTGACGAAAATAATAATTAATTAAAGAAACAATTAATTGCAAGATTAAATGGAACAAAAATATAAAAGACTATTTAAAAATGTTAGTTAATTATTTAAAAAGAACTATAAACGTTTCTAGTTGGTGGATATAATCTTTGAAAAAAAAAAAAACAACTTTAAGAGATAGAATGATGGGAAATTTATACATAAAGTGTCATATAACGCCAATTGTAACAAAGATGAGATGCTACATGTAAATTTAAATAGGAAATATTTGTATGTTTTAAAGCAAAAATATTTCAAAGTGATTTAGTACTTTGATATTTTAATCTTAAAATTATGTTTTATTTTTTAAAAGTTTTATTGTTTTGATTGAATCTTTTATATTTTTTTTATCATCTAACATATTTATCTTATTTTATTTCTCTAATTAATAGTTATATTTTAATAGAAAAGAAAAACTTACTTGATAATAAAAGGTTAAAAAACCATAATAAAATAAAATAAACGATACTAGAAAAAGCTTAAATAAAATTAAAGGAGTAGATACCTAGTTTTGTCATTTAAATATGTTACTATTTCACGCAAATACGAGTGAGAGATGATAAGGAAGGAGTGAAATATTAAATTAAAATTAAAATAATTATTATTTTTATTTTAAATTAATTTTAACAAATAATTAAAAGTTTATTAAAAAATGTATTAATACCATTTTTCACGCTAGGATAGATTTTATAAGTTTGTGAGGGCATTTACATCCACTTTTTGTTTGATAGTTCTATTATGTGAAAGTGAAATGACCATCGATGATTAGATCTTATCATAAATAGTTAATATTAAAATATATAAATTGTATGGAATTTTTAAAAAGTCACGTGTCTTTTTTATAAGTAATTTGCGCACTTATACATGTAACTGTTTATTTTTCTTTTCCTTATATTTTCATTCTTGTTATTATTGTTCCAATTGTTTATGGAAAAAATACTTACTAATATAGGAAGCAAACTATGATAAATATGTATTTAATTACATTTTTCTCCTTAAATTGTATATATCTAGTTCTGATTTTTTTCCTTTTTATTTCGTTTTTTTTTTTTTGCAAGAAAATGATAGAATTTAGATTAAATTTCTGATATACTTCTCATCCATTTATTAACCAAAGAGTAACAAGTAAATATTTTCTTTCTAATTCAATAACAATATTCTTATGGAGAATTATTTAGTGGTAAAAAATTCAAATTTTGATTTAATAACTTAATGATAAAAAAATTAAAACACTTCCATGCAAGTGTAACTGCTATACTCTCTAATAAGTTTCTTTCTTTCCCCTCGTCCAGAAAGATGACTGAGAGATAAACAATAGTAGCTAACTAAAAAACTGTGTTTATTAATTTGACGATCACTTAAAATATTTTTCTTTTATCAATATACATATTATATATAATGTAAAATTTGTGACTAAAAATTTAGATACACGTAATTATGTTCAACTGTTTATATTAACTTGATTAATATTATATTTTCTCAATTTTAAAATAACAGTGATTGTATATCTCTCTACAAGTTGTACAGTAAGAAAATTTAAGTTAATCAAATAATTTTTGAAATATTCATTAGGGTTCAGACTTGTGAAAATGTATGACTGGAAAGGAAGTATCGATATCAAAATAATATTAGTAGAGATTCTGGTTCAGTTCCATAATTATAGAAAAACTATATAGACTTTTTCTTATTGTTCTTGAACCGACCAATATATAGAAATAAAAAGATACAGTGTAGATAAATTTTAAAATGGATGAAACTATATTGAGTTGAAGGTAATTTAATTGGACGTTTATTTACCATGATGGTGAGATTATGGTTTCGTACAGGTGAGTTAGAGATTCTATTTTGTGTTATCTTAGCCGCAATAGAAAAGGAGTGAGAGACCGTGGCCATCTTTGAAGAGACAGGGAATGCAGATAATTAGAATATGCAAAGTGGGGACGAATGACGATACCAGTGACATTGGCTGGGGACCCATCACGTTCACTTCAATGCTTTGCTCTTATAAGTTCAAAGACATGTGCGAATTCAAGAGTGACTCAGTGTAAGTGTGGACCGAAACTACGGTCCCTCCACTTCTTAAGGCTAATTAAGACACGAGCCAAAACCGGCATGTTAATATATTTTTTAACTTTTATAAATTCTTTTATCACTTATTTATTATTTGGATAATGTTTGGTGAAAATAGAAAAAAGACAAATAAAACGTTATTTTATTTAATTTTCTGTCTTTTTTTAAGGATTTTTTTTAAGTAGTTCTTTAAGTATTTATAGTGTTATTTTTTAGTTTTACTCGAAACATACGAAAAATATTACCTTTATATAATATTATATAGTATGTCTTTATGATTGTTTAGTTTTGTCTCAAAATATATATTATTTTAAAAATTAAAACAACATTAATTATATTTTAATAAATTTGCTTTTGTTGAATCCTTTCACTTTAGCAAATATATAAGTACATTACATCTTACTGAATTAATAAGGATAATTTTAGTAAAGCCACTTTTTCACAAGTTATTATGTAATAAATATTTCCTTTAGAAGAAAGTATATAGTATCTAAAAAGACAAATAATATAAAATAGAGAAAGTAATACTTGCATTTTTTTAATGTGTATAACCAAACTAAAAAGAGTAAAAGATAAAATATTTATACATAATAGTACATATAATATATTTTTATTGATGTAATAAAATTGTTATTACTTTTCTCGATTTTCTTTTTTTAAATAGAAAATTAAACACATATTTTTTTAAATTCTTAAAGTATATATATCTAAAGAAGAAAAATATATTTTAATAAATTTTAAAAATTATTGATAACACACTTTTTTTTCTTACTAATACACTACTTTAAACATAATTTTAAATACACTTTTTATTACTAAGTAATTAAACTTTAAAATAATTTTTTATGCATATTCAAGAACACAAATTAGAAAACATTAAAGTATCTTATTAAATGTTTTAAATTTATAAAAATATACATTAATTTTTTATAATTTTTAGACAATTAATAATTTTATTTTAAAATAAATTATTTTAAATTTCTGTACACAAGTTAGAAAAATAAAATAAAAAATGATCACATTATTACAACCTTTCTTCACAAATATTTTATGAACTTCAAAGCCGGAGTTTCCCCACGTGCTAAAATTTTTTTGGCCCTACCGCGTCCCCTACCCTACACCCAATGAATAGGCCACGTGGCCACTCTTTGTACGCTCCTTATGATCAACACGTTTAGAGCTTCAAAATCGTTGGACCTTCATCTCATCCTCACTATATAACAACGCCACCCAACCTTCCGCCGTCAATTTCCATCAAAATCGATCATCACAATATTCGAAAGCCACACCCATATAATATATATACATAGATCCACCCTGAATATACAAATAAGCATTACCAACCATACACTATACACTCCCCGGCCATGTCTGGTGCTGATCCTACTTGTTACAGTATTGACTCGTGTTCTGCCAATAACAACAACACTAGTAGTAAGATGTACAAAGGGGTGAGAAAGAGAAAATGGGGCAAATGGGTATCTGAAATTAGGCTTCCCAATAGCCGTGAGCGCATATGGTTGGGCTCTTATGATACCCAAGAGAAAGCTGCTAGGGCCTTTGATGCAGCCCTTTATTGCCTACGTGGCAAAAGTGCAAGTTTCAATTTCCCTGACACCCCTCTTAACTTGGACATCAATGTGCCTCACCAATCTCTTTCCCCGCAGGAAATTCAAGAGGTAGCGGCTAAGTTTGCCAACAACCACCCACCTTTGGAGAGTGCTCAAGAGGAACCATTGTTAGAGTCACAAAGTGGTGGTGATCATTCATTTGGGTTGTTTGAATCCAATAAATCTAAGTCCAACCCCGAGAGTAGTTCTTTGTCAATCCCTATGTATGATTGTGATTATGGGACCATGCAAGTGGACCATGGGGACTTAGAGGCCACGGATTGGACATTTTTTAACATGTTGGATGACTTGAATGGCTCCGATTTTCGCCTCTATTTTGGGCCAGACAAGATGCCCTCGGGTGATTTACTGTATTCCACTCAACCACCACTACTTTTTGAGGATAATAATGGGGATGAGATTGAAGGTGGTGATACTTTCTCTAACCATTCCTACCTTTGGAGTTGGAACTTTTAATTCACTTACAAGCTTTACTTTTCCGAAGTTTCAACTAATTAAATTACTAGCAAGCGATAGTTAGGCTGTGACTAGAGTTTATATCAAGTCGACTATACCATACATGCCATAAATATTATGAAAAGTGGCCCGATTTTTATTGCCACCTTTCTATTTTTGTTGAATGGATTAGAGGGATGTGCATAGGATTAGCACTTGCCAAGCTATCCATTGCCAAATTTTCTCTTAGAGTTTCTTTTTGCAATAAAATATGTACTAATAAAGATCGTTTTATACTATTTACATAATTGTCTATCATATTATTTATAAATACAGTTATAGTTTTGTATTATGTATAAATATATTCTGATATAATATGTTTTTCAAATTTATTGAGTACAATAAAAATAGTATAAATTTAAAATTTTAAAATTTTATATAATTTTTTACTTTGTACAATTAATGAGATAATATAATTTGTCATCCCCAAATTAATATGATGAAAACACTTGCAACTTTTGTGTACCTAAAAATTATTAAATTTATTAACTACATGTGACAATATTTGAAAAAAATTTAAGAGCGTAACTCGTGTGTGTATTTTGAGAGTATTTAACAATCACATGTGTAATTTTTAAGAGAAATGATTTTTTCTGAGTTGAGATCTTAAATTCGTAAATTTATGAGGTATACATTGACGGAGATGAAAAAAAGTTAAAGAGTGACTTACTTTGCTTGTGATTTTGATAGTGAATTGATAAATATGACACAAGACTAAAAAATGATGATCAAGAAGAAATCTCAAAGTTGTTGAAAATGTTTTTATGGTGTGTGTTTATCTTTTGGTGCTATTTTCTCCTACTTCATTTTAACAACTAGCTATCTTATATAAGATTTTCTTGAGCACATGTAGTAAGGTTTCTTCGTTGTAGGGATGATGATAAGTCATGTTTTCTTTGACTATAATATGGACAATTTTTTTAGGGATCGTGATGATAATTTGTCAGATAGTTTAAGTGTAAAATTTTAGGTTAAAATGGTAAAGTAGGCTTTGTTTAAGAGGTGGCCGAAGCCTATTTTGGTACAACTTGCTATATTATACGAAAATGGTTTGAGAGAGAGTATTGTTTAGTTTTTTATTTAATCTTTATTGGTCATTGCGTCATCTTTACTTTTAAGATTTAATGCACTCTTATTGAGTAAGTCATCTTAAGCTTGACAAATTACATAACTACTTAAAATTTTTTTTCCTTGTCTAACTTTCAGTTCTAAACTATCATCTCACACTTTAGTTCCACAAAAATATTAGTAGAACGCTTTAGTACATTTTAAAGAGCATTATAGCATTATTTCTTGTTATGACATAATATTAAATTGTTACTAATTATTGATGCATATGAACATATTTTGTGGGAGTCATCTACCTATGAGAAACAAAATTTAAGTTATTGTCCCACTATTTTACTATCATATAAAATGGAACCAATTTTACCATGTCATTCAACAATTAGGGATGACATAATACATTTTAGTAAATTTAGGTGATATTGCATATGCAAGTTCACATTAAAAGAAAGATAAATGAAGATGGATAAAGAATATATGTCAACCCCACATTGATATATGGAATCGTGAGTTAAAAAAGATGATTATTTCCTACATAAGTAAGGTTGCTAAGCATGAATTTGCAATACATAATGTTTTCATTTGAATGAGATTTTTTGTATTGTTACCTCATTCATATGATGATAGGTTAATACAATAGAGATAATACATATTTAACATTAGAAAATGGTCAAGTTAGGTGAAATGCTTTCATATTTAAAAAAATATGCAAGAATGTGAAAGCATATTCATGATGATAAGGGAGGATTTAGGGATATCTGATAAATGTATAAATTAGGTAATTTTAGGTGATGACTTGAACACTTTTCATGTTAAGTGTTTGGATTTTTTTGGTTAAATTTCTTCTAAACTTGAAACTTTTACAATTACTTATATATTTGAGGAGAAGAATGTAAATGTAAGTATTTTGATTCCTTATATATATATATATATATATATATATATATATATATATATAATTTTAAGTGCCTTTGATACCAAGATTACTCGAAGTGGATCAAAGGAAGAAAATTAGCAAGAAAGGAAAGTAGACAATAACAGGATTACTAAATGTAAGGTAGAATGTAAAATGCAGAAATATAAATATCTAAAATTTAAAACATAAGAAACTAGAATGACGGTAGAACCAACACAGATCTAGTAGAGGGAGAAGAGAAGAACACTGGATGACAGCAGAGCTGAACAGAACCAGCAAAAGGGAGAAGAGATAAAAGTATAGAAACAAGATTTTATCAAAAACTTGGAGAAAAAGCTTACAAAGATAGTATCTCAGAGCACTTCTTTCTTAAGTATCTCTCTCTAGAATTGCTCAATGAAAAGGTGTCTCGCAACATGGTCGAAGACTCCTTATATAGAAAAATAAAATATTGTTACTACAGTTTCGGTTTGTTATAGGAACTATTTTCTACAGTATCAATCACAATTCTTGAATGTCTATACCAAAACAGTCATCTTCATTTTGGTCAATGTCTTCAGTATTGATTTTGAAATCTTGTTTGGTAGAAGATTCTGTTTCGTCCTGGTTCTGCAGGAGAAGGAGAACATTTTTTAAATTCTGGTTCATTTTTTCTTTAGAATCATAACTTGACAAGAAAGCTACAATCTTAGATTTCTGATTCAAGAATTGGAATGTTGTTGGATTAGATGGTTTTAATAATTTTGGATTATTTCCAAAAAATTCAGCAACGCGGGGTAGTCCTGCATGATCTGCATTAAATTGATTCCACAATTTCACAAAGGAATATCTGTGAAGTATGAGGAGATTTTCTTCATTTTTTATCTTGCTATATCTGTATTGCCATGAGAATACTCATGCAAGAGCAAAAACAAAAAAATATTTGAGATCTGCTGGAATTCTTGAATTTTGCAAATACCTGTCTTTGAAAATTAAATATCTTTCTTTTACTGGGGAAGGAAGGATATCTTCTATAAGTACAAAATAATTCCACCATTGGAGAAACCAATTCGGAAAGTCATAATTTTGATTTCTTTTAAAATAAATCAACCAAGAATGTCGATTGAGTTTATTTTGAAACCAAAAAATTCTTGTCCAAGCATTGATATAGTCCTAATAATTATATCCTGTTGGATCAAAAGGTTAAAATTTTTTTTTTGTATGAATTTAAATTTTTTCTAAAATTTTTTGGTGTTAAGACTTTGAGGATTTGGATTGTGGAATCGGTAATGATAGATGAATCTTTTGGATCTTTATAATGTTTAATGGAAACAGAGTCTGAGTCCACAAAGATAAATTCATAAAATTGTCTGGTTATTTAAGGTATAAGGTCTGAAATGAAAACTAGGGGGAAAAACTTTGGTAATAGCTTTGTAAGGGTTTTTATCCCAAAATTCTGGTTCCATTTGAATGACAGAAGAAAATTTTCCTTTAGCCATATAATGGTTAGTATTTGAAGATTTTTGTTTGCTTTCAAGGAGATTAATAGTCTTGCTAGTTTCTCTGGAAAGACTAACAGATTTCTGAGTTTGGTTAAAGGTTTGGATAATAGAATTTAGGCAAGATAAATTTATATCCTCTAACTCATCTTCAGAGGCTATGTCTACCCAAGATTTTTTTGGTAAGCTACTCAAGCTTCCTTGTTGGATAGCTAAGAGTGTGCTAACAGGTAAAGCATAGTCGGCTTTAGTTTGTTTGGTGGTTTTATTTTGGATTGCCTTTTGAGTAGATGATTCAATGGGGGTAGATGACCTAGAAGATGTTGAATTTGCAGATGCAGATTTTGATTTTGATTTATTTAGAGCCAGGGCAAGCCTGACTCTCCCTCTATTGGATGTATTACCCCTGGATGGGGTTGCCGCCTTCCTAGGCATGCTATTTATCCTGTAAATATTCACGAGTGAGATAATCAGGAAGGGAATTAGAAGTGCCTTTGATATATTCAATTTCAAAATCAAAAACACTTAGAATTGCTTGCCATCTAGCAAAAATTTGTTTGGAGGCAAGGTTTTTTACATCCTTTTGTAAAATTTCTTTAGTAGATTTACAATTTACTCTTATAAGAAATTTTTGATTTAATAAATCAAATTGAAATTTTGAAACACATAAAACAATTGCTAAAACTTCTTTTTTCATAGTTGAATAATTCTGTTGTGCAGAATTACAATGTTTCAAAGTATATGCAATGATATGCTCATAGGAATTGATTCTTTGTTTGAGGATGCCCCCATAACCTATGTCAGAAGCATCTGTTTCAACAATTTTGAAAGCTTGAGGAATAGGGAGATAAAGACACTTTATTTCCTTAACTTTGGTTTTAATTTCCCTGACTACATCAGTATGAATGTCAGTCCATGAGGGAGGGTTTTTCTTAAGCCTATCATGTAAAGGCTTAATGATATTGTTAAGGTGGGGAATAAAATCACCTACATAATTTAGACATCCTAAAAACCTTTAAAGTTGGGTTTTATCTAGGATTCTGTCAGGAAATCTATTAGCAAATTCAATGGATCTGCTAATGGGAATAATAGTTCCTTGATGTATATTATGACCAAGAAACCTGACATTAATTTGAAACAGATTGATTTTTGATTTGGACACAGCTAAACCATTATGTTTGACAACATTAATGAAAACATTTATAAGCTTGAAATGTTGATCAATAAAATGGGAAAAAATTAAAACGTCATCAATATAGACAATGATAAATTTGGAATAAGAATTGAAGATATCGTTCATGATCTTCTGAAATTCAGAAGGGGCATTTTTAAGACCAAAGGGCATTACGTTCTATTCATATTGTCCAAAGGGAACAGTGAAGGCAGTTTTGTATTTGTTTTCTTCACAGATTTGGATTTGCCAAAATCCAGATTTCATGTCAAATTTTGAAAAAATCTTAGCAGAATTGAGTCTGTTAAGAAGATATTTTTTGTTGGGAATA